CAACATGATCCTTTGGGGGATTTGCTAAAATCATCCCATATTATTATTATTTTAAGCTCTGTGTTTTCCTGCTAACAGATGCATACTGAAAGTGACTCAGTTACTGTAATGAAGTTCAGCATCTCTGTATGGCAAGCACACCAACTGTATGGAAATTAGTTTTAATTATATATTGTGTTTAGCTACTTCTTCAGTCAACAAAGTGTAAATATTTTGAATAAATCAATGTGGATTCTTTGCTAAACAAAATGGTGAAGGGGAACGCGAGAAAGGCAGAGAGCTCTGATGTTGCTCCTGGGATCTATTGGAGCCACATGTCATATATGTCCACATGCTCACAGTCATATATGTATCAGTTTTGAACTTCTTTATTACAGCATATTTAACACCCTCTCTTTTTACCTTTCTTTCCTTTTTCCTTTTCACATTTACTACATCTTTATTTGAAAGTACTTATATATGTAAAATCTTTTAATAAAAACTGTATTAGAAAAAATAAAAAATACATTAAAAATCAAAGCTCATAACAATCACATTAAATTTATACTTTTTAAAACATGAAGGCTTAAATTGCCTGAATTATACAAGAACTTTACAAAAGAAGAAGAATCCTAGTAAATATACCTATCTGGGAAAATTGTTCCAAAACTTGGAACAAAGGCCCTGTCCTATTATTAGGTGTTTCACATTGGAATATCAACCTCTCTTGCAGCCTTATTAAGGTTAGGGTTAAATTTGTAATAATGTAAGAAAGTTGTTTTTGACCCACCTTTCCCAATAAAATGCTTATTCAGATATGCCCGAGCTAATATAACCCTAATTCAAGAAGTTACAGTCTTTAAAAATCTGGTAGGCTGCTGTTTAGGCAGTGTTTCTCAAACATGGCAACTTTAAAATGGATGGACTTCAACTCCCTGGCTGGCTGGGGAATTCCAGAAGTTGAAATCACATCTTAAAAATTAAAAGTTTGAGAAACACCAGCTTAAGGAATATCATTCTAAAGCAACTTTCTTGCACTACCCAACTCCTAACTTGGAGCTCTTGATTCTCTAGGACAAGTTGAGGCTAGTGGGCACATTTGGCATTTTTGGAAACTGGGATTTTCAACACATTTGGAGTTTTTGAAGGCCCTGCAGGGCAGAGTTTGCCCAATTCCAAAATGGCACCAGAATTCTACCTGCCATTCCTTCTAGTTCGCCATCATACAAACTTGTATCTCTGCTTTACCTTCATCCTTTTTGTGGGCAGGTGGATACAGATTTGAAACAGCAGCCATGTCTAATATTTATTTTCTAAAAAAAAAAGCAATGGAACAAATTTGGGGCCCATATGCGCTCTTGAAGGTGAAGTTAAACAGAAGTCTTAATATAAACTACAAACATATTAACAAATGTTTTTTTTTAAATGCACAAATCAGGGGAAGGGAAATCAAAGAAGTTCTTGGTGATCATGTTGGCACCGTGTTATATTTTGAGCTCTGATAAGCCTTGTATTGTAAACTGTGTCTGGGCATAGTTGGAAAGTTCATTCTAAAATACAGAGGTAATTTTTTTTGAAGGAAACTAACAGGATGACATTTTTTACGGCACATAATAAATAACCCAGACCACATGTGTAAATAGCATGCCTGGTATATCTTCTTAACACAAATTTATAACTTACTCTTGTTTCCATTTATTTTACTTCCTCTCCTTTGCTCTTCAAATGGTCATAAAAGATAAGTGCACTGCTGTACTCCTATTATTGAGGCATCTGCCAGCATAAATTATACAAATAAGCTAAAGAGGATTCTAGCCTGTGCTGGAATATGATGGACTAAGGACCAAAATGCTTTGCCAGCACAGTTAATTTTGCACTATTTATCTGCCTCTTATTTCACAGTATTGCATATCGTGGGTAGGGAAAAGTTAGATTTGCAGACCTCCCATCAATATATATACATATTGTCATGCATAAACTTGAAGAAGTTCCTACTTGTGCTGGCCAGGAATGCTAAAATCTGCTATAGACACCTGCACATTTAATAATAATAATAATAATGATAACGTTGGAAGGGACCTTGGAGGTCATCTAGTCCAACTCCCTGCTGAAGCAGAGAAACCTATACCATTTTGGACAAATGGCTGTCCAGTTTCTTCTTAAAAACTTCCAGTGTTGGAGCATTCACCGCTTCTGGAGGCAGGTTGTTCCACTGGTTAATTGTTCTAACTGTCAGGAAGTTTCTCCTTAGTTCTAGGTTGCTTCTCTCTTTGGTTAGTTTCTACCCGTTGCTTCTTGTCCTGCCTTCAGGCGCTTTGGAAAATAGCTTGACTTCCTCTTTGTGGCAGCCCCTGAGATACTGGAACACTATTAATACAATGTTGTAGGACTATATGATTGTTTTTGACATTCTGGCTTTATTTGACTAATTCATTGTCCCAGGAGCACTTTGGTTCATGAATCAGCTCTTCTTTGAATCACTGTTTGCACTCCAACTGCAAGTTATCTTAAATGATAACCCCCAATTCTTTCCCTTGATGGCATTATGAGAACTACTGGCATTCAGAGGGGGCATAAAGTCTTTACTCAATTTATTTTTTTGCTATATTTTATATCCTACCTTTCCTTAAAGAACTCAGTGTAACAAGACCTACCTCCAATTTCCCCCCACTACATCAAAACTGAAAGACTGGGCTAAAAGATATCAACCCAACATCACTCAGTAACCGCAGCTAAAGGTGTCTTGAACCCAAATCTTCTCATTCTTCACCAACATCGTTTATAAAAATACTGCATCTAAGCAGTGCTAGCCATATCAGGTTTTTATCTTGTGTTCTTTAAGAGTGAACATTCTGTGGGATCCAATTTGGATCACCGGGACCAGAGGTTTAGTCTTCTGAGCTTTCAGATTTGTGCTGGAGTCCATCCTCAGGGAACTTCTCCCACCAAGATGTGTCCCTTTCACATTCCAGTGAGGGAAAAATTCCCTGAGAATGGGCTCCTGCACAAGTCCGAAAAGTCAGAAGACTAGAGCTCTGGTCTTGGTCATCCAAATTGGATCCTGCAACATTATCCTGGGACATGTATATTTGCCTTCATTTGTGAGTGAATATTCTCTTCCTTTCTGTATAAGCATTTTTGTCATCCTTAAAAATATTCAGGTGACTGCAGCCTAATGGACATATTGAGCATAATAGAAGAATTAGAGGCTGTCCTTTACTGTTTCACTCACATAGTTATAGCTTAAGTTCTGCCCTGAATGTTTTTGAATGATTATTATCTGCTCTTTGCTCAGTTTTCTAGAGTACATTCTCTTTATTTCATCAACAATACTTTCTCTTATGGCTTTTTAGATGACACCAATTTAAAGCTGGTATCCCATTTTCTTGCTCCCATTTGTGGACTTTTTCCCTTTGGGAGGCTGGCTTGAGGATGCAAAATCCTGAGAGTCCGCTGTGTGACAAATACTCCTCAAAAGCCTAATCAAACTCTTTATTTTTCTTTTTTCGTCTTTGCTTCTGGCATCACATTTCATCACAGAAGGCAAGAGGATAGCTGGCAATTCAGCACGAAGTATGTAAAGACAAACAAAAATCCTGTTTCAGTATTTTTACTTAAATTTTCTTTGCCTTTTAAAGAAACCTAGAATTCCCCTTTTATGGGAATGCAATTTCAGATCCCCTCATCTTAGCTAGCTGGATTTGCTCCATTCTCCCTTGGCCTTGAACATCTCTGCTGCCATTTGATATACACACTTGAAATTCCTCTACGTCCAGAGCGTGTTAGGTGGAGGTTCTGGAAATTCACCCCTTTGTTGTGTGAACCCCTGAGGAATGATGCTTCTAATTAATATCTGACTAATTGAAGCACTTGGAGGACTTAGTCATATAGCTTTCAGATATTCTCACTAGGCTAGCTTTGTCTCAAGGCGACTACCAGTTGTTGTGATGCAAGGAGGAAATTAGCAGTTCTTGATACAACAAGCTTCTGTCTTCGCAAGTGATTTTTTTTTTCTCCTCCCCTTCGCTGATTTCACCGTTATATTTTGCCCTATCCCCCCAGCTGTGCCTATGCAACTGTGTGCTGCTTTCTGTGTGCGTCACTTACTGTAGTGTCTCTAGCTTGCACCTAAATGTGGAGCATTTCTTCCAAATGTGCCTGCTGGCTTGGCAGAGTTCTAGCTTTCTGGAAACAAATCAAACAACTTTGGCTGCCAAGCTGAGACATTCTGACATGTTGGAGGTGGTACAGATTTTGATAATTGAAATATTATAAAAACAGTAATTCGGCTGAACCTCAATCAATTAAATACTGTTTCTTGTTTTGCTTTCTTGTGTTGCATTCTTTTCTGAACTGATTGATGCACATTCTACCTGTTTCTGCATTCATGTTAATTATCCGCAGTGCTGCATAACTAGAAACAGCAGTGCTAGTACATCCAGCTTTAATAACTAAATCTTGACCATCGCATGTAAAATGCAAAAGAACCATGCCATTAAAAGAAAAGATTTTTGATAAGGAGGGAGGGAAAGTTAACGAATCCTCCATGCTCCCTCTTTCTTCTCTTCTGTTGATGTTGTTTCTTTTTACCTACCAAGACTAAAATCTTTATCCTGAAGCAAGAACTAGGCAAACTGTGGCACTCAGCCCAATTTCTGAACTGTCTGTAAGTTATCAGGTCTCTAAAAGAAGCCTCTCCCCAGCCGTTGTGGCTATTTCTCAGCATGCTAGAAGTTGAAGTCAGCACATCTGAAAGCTGCTCACTCGGGGGACTAGGCGATGAAAGAATTATTTCCTGCTCTTAAGCCTAGAAGGAGGCAATAGATGAAGCGTGTAAGAAGCATAAAACAAAGATATTTAATGTTACCTCTTATTTAAATGTATCCAGCCTAGCCTTCATCCCAGGATCAGTTTGGAGTGTGATAAAATACTGGTGTTTTTTTTTCTTTTCAAATCTTCTTGCTAATTGTTATAATGCTACTAGACTTGTCACACTCATTTGGTTCCTTTTCCCTTTTCAGTTTGGCAGGACTGAAGTCATTGACAACACCTTGAACCCCGACTTTGTGCGGAAGTTCATCCTTGACTACTTTTTTGAAGAGAAGCAGAATTTGCGCTTTGATCTGTGAGTGACATATTTCTTGGTCTTCTAGAGACTGAGCATGTGAAGGGAATATCAGTGTGCACCCATAAGACATCCATTTGGCTGTATCCCATAATTGGTGAGATTCTGTGAAGAATACAGTATGCCAGTGCTTTGCCTTATCAGGGGGCGCTCTGAAAACAACAACAACAACATGTGCAATGAGATCCAAGGGGGGGTCTCTTTTTTCTGAGCTCCAAGGGCAGCAATAATTTTATACACATTAAAGGCAGAGTTTTCACTTTTCAGCAGGTTCCAAATTTTGTGAATATAATACATTGCATTCAACATTTTTATCTTCATTTTTTCCTCAATGTCATACTAATATCATTAGCATAGGGTTATGTTTCAACATCTGAATGATGCAAGGGGTGCAGGTCAGAAGGAAATTAAGATACCTATATTTGGGTCTATTTTATGCCGACATTAAACTTATATAATGTCAGTGTAAAATAGACCCAAATGTAGGTGTCTTAATTTTCTTCTGACCTGTTCCCCTTGCATCATGCAGATGTTAAAACATAACCCTTGCTAGATATCCTTTGGGCCCTGTGCTAGACATAGGAAATATTCTGCTGTTTCATTGACAAATCACTGCATACTAATTTAACAATTAATAAAATATTAGCCCATTGATTTCTTAAGATAGAATATTTCAACTCATTACTCTAAATTATCTCCAAATTACCCCATATCTATCTTAATACATCATTTCACTTATATATAAATTAACTATAGGTTTAGCAACTTTGAGAACATTTCCAAAGACATCAGTAGTTTAGGAAGTTCAGAAATAACTATTTCTTCAGACCCAATACACCTCCAAAAGATACTTTAATCCAATAAGCAATGATCAAACAGTCTTAGATAATCCAAAATGGGGTGTATTTTTGACAAACATTGAGTGTTTTTGAAGAAATTATTATTTTAAATAATAATTATTATTTAAAATTATAATTTTAAATAAATTATATTTTAAATATTGTTACCTTTTTTTGTCCATGATTTCCACAATAATTATTTACCAGCCATCTTCAAGTTAGATTTTTCCATAATGTCAATTTCTCATGAGAATTGGATCAGATTTTAATTTCCTTCCCAATATATAAATCTTGAAACTTTTAATGTGAGAAAACCAATTAAAACAGAAATCAAAATGTTGCCAAAATATAGGTAGGTAAGATAATAGCTTTCTAATTGTTCCCCAAATAGTTTTTGAAATAAATCATTTGAATTCCAAAAGCAGTATATGCCCAATGGTATAATTGAAAATTGACAAATTAAAATTCCCATATTCAGAGAAAAGTAATTCTAATATAGTAAGTCTATGAGTCTGACAACACCATGAAAGTTTTCCAGTATTCTATCAATCTAGTTAAAACACTTTACAAATATTAACATAGGATTCCCTCTAATAATATACATCAACTTTGGACTTACTTTTATATTGATATTTATTCTTCCCCATAGATGCCTGGAGATTTTACACTGTTTGTTTATATCAGTATTAATCTGAGATAAGCAACTGGGAACTATTAACCTAGTTCAACAAAGAAATCTAGGAATAATTATTCCAAGATATGTAAATGAATTCATACAAAATATGAAGCTACATTTTTTCAAATATTCATTGAAACTTTAGAACCAATAAACAGTATATTAGATCTCTCCTGATTAATGGAGCAACTTGAAAATGTTTACCAAAGTATTGTACTATAAATGGAATCCATAAATATTGGTTAAGAACATTAGTAGTTCTCAGCAAAGGATACAGTCTCATCAGCATGTAATAATAATTTATATTTATCATCCCTTCAGGGTTGGCAAGGTAAGGAAACAGGGGCAGCAGGGCTTTCAGGAGTGCTCTTTATTGTTGTAGGGTAGCATAACAAAATATTGAAAACCTGTCCAAATTTTTTTTTCTACCACACTTTTATACCAATCGAAATCAAGGCAGGTTCTTTTGAGTTTCTTTCTCACACTTTTCCTCTTTTTGGGTTCTAAGTGATTTTTTTTCTCCTCCCTTAAGAGTTTTTTACTCCTTCCGAAAGCAGATCTTTCTTTCACAATGTTCCATTTCCACTAATCTGGTACCTGGAATATTCTTAGATATTTATGTAGAGGCCAATAGTTCCAACATCACATTAAATAAAAGTAAAAGTAAAGAAAAGTATTAAAATAAACACTCTTGATGAATTCCTCACAGTATTCTAATAGGTAAAGGAATAATTCCAGTTGCGATAATCCTTATTATGGGCTAGAGAACCACACTTTACTCCAATTTTTAAAACTTGAAAGGAAAACCAAATATAGGTAGCCCTGGATTTACTAGTACAATCAAGCCCAAAATTTCTGTTGTTAAGCAAGATAGTTGTTAAGTGAGTTTTGCCCCATTTTACGACCTTTCTTGCCACGCTGTTAAGTGAACCACTGAAATGGTTAAGTTAGTAACACGGTTAAGTGAATCTGGCTTCTGCACAGACTTTGCTTGTCAGAGGGTTGCAAAAGGTTATCACATGATCCCGGGACACTGCAACCGTCATAAATATTAACCAGTTGCCAAGCATCCAAATTTTGATCATATTGACCATAAGGATGCTGCAATGGTCATAAGTATGAAAAATGATCATACCTCACTTTTTTCAGTGCCGTTGTAACTTTGAATGGTCACTAAATGAATGGTTATAAGTCAAGGACTACTTGTATAGCCAAAACATCTACAAAGTTAATCTGCACCATATCAAAAACTTTCTTGATATTCAATGAAACAAGTGCCATCTAATCCAATGTATCTAATTGCATATCAATTACCTCCACCAATTATCTAATATTGTCTATTGCTTGGCATCATTTAAGAAAAACAGATTGTTCCAGATGAGGTCTCAAAGGTTGTATACTTTATAGCCTATAGGCCAAAGATTTGTCAATATTGTAGCATCCACTGTTAACAAAGGAGTTAATCTATTCATTCTGTAGTATTGAACTTAGCTTCAAAAGTATAGTTATAAATAGAAGAGGAAAAAACTGTACGAAAAAAGGATTTTTGTATTCATGCATTCAACAATATAGAAGGGGGGGGGACAATGAATACTTTACAGCTAAGTTCTCAGATTTGGACTCTTACAAATGATTCCTTCCTATCTTGTGCAAAAACGCCTTGGCATTGTTTAAGTCTTAGTAAATATATATGAACTATTGCTAAAAGAGATTCACTTTGCAATTTTGTGGCAAACCATTCTCCTTGTATCCTTGGAATAAACATCCTCCAAATAACTATCCTTTATTTTATCATCCAGTAATATTTTATTTCAGTATCTATCAGTGAATGATGACTGTTAATCATTCAATGGAACCCTCAATGGAAGTGCATCTACGTGGAGGGAAGTGTGTAGTGGGGTGCCCCAGGGCTCTGTTCTGGGCCCAGTGCTCTTCAACATCTTCATCAATGATTTGGATGAGGGGATAGATGGGGAACTCATCAAATTTGCAGATGGCACCAAGCTGGCAGGAATAGCCAACACTCCAGAAGATAGGCTTAAGTTATAGAAGGATCTTGACAGACTTGAACATTGGGCGCTATCTGACAAAATGAAATTCAATGGTGAAAAAAGTAAGGTTCTACAAAAAAAAATACAAATGCACAGGTACAGTGTAGGTGGTACCTTGCTCAATAGTAATAACTGTGAGAGGGATCTCGGAGTCTTAGTGGGCAATCATTTAAATATGAGCCAGCAGTGTGCTGCAGCTGCCAAAAAACCCAACACAATGCTAGACTGCATTAATAAAGGGATAGAATCAAGATTACGTGAAGTGTTAATACCACTTTACAATGCCTTGGTAAGGCCATACTTGGAATACTGCATTCAGTTTTGGTCACCACAATGTAAAAAAAAGATGTTGAGACTCTAGAAAGAGTACAGAGAAGAGCAACAAAGATGATTAGGGGACTGGAGGCTAAAACATATAAGGAACGGTTGCTGGAATTGGGTATGTCTAGTTTAATGAAGAGAAGGACTAGGGGTGACATGATAGCAGTGTTCCAATATCTCAGGGGCTGCCACAAAGAAGAGGGAGTCAAGCTAATCTCCAGAGCACCTAAGGCAGGACCAGAGCAATAGATGGAAACTAATCAAGGAGAGAAGCAACCTAGAATTAAGGAGAAACTTCCTGACAGTTAGAACAATTAATCAATGGAACAGCCTCCCTCCAGAAGCTGTGAATGCTCCAACACTGGAAGTTTTCAAAAAGAGACTGGATAGCCATTTGTCTGAAATGGTATAGGATTTCCTGCCTGAGCAGGGGGTTGGATTAAATCACCTCCAAGGCCCCTTCCAACATCGTCATCACCACCATCATCATGTAATAATATTGAAAATTTAACCACATTCATCATTATTTGCAGTAATGTTTATTATTGTTGTTGTTGTTGTTGTTGTTATGGATCATCGCACAGTCAGCCAGATGTTCAGATGGATTTGGCATTTTGTCTACCTATCGAGTCCTTACCCAGGACCTGGGATAGGCAGATGTGGATGTTTGATGGTATTACAGATATCATCATCATCATCATCATCATTATTATTATTATTATTATTTCTCTTTTCTACCTTAGTGACCATAAGAGCTCTGAGTCTTCAGGGAAATTCCCAGTTCTACCTACTTCATATAGAACAATGCAATATAAACAAAGAAAGATTCATCCCAGAACACATCCAATGCTCAGCTTCTGAAAGTTTCCCAAACTCAGGGTCCTCCAGGAGATATTTGGAAGTCTATAGGCATCCTCTATTTGTTAAATGAGTCACATTTAGTAGCATTTGATAATTAAAAAGATAATGGAATTACATGAAAAGTATTACGTGTCTAGATAATTTGTTGTTAATATAGAATGATAGCTCAGACGTTCTCAACATCAGTCAGGAGATAGGAGTAGAGGCCTCAGAAAACAGCCTGTTCTCCGTTTTTTATCCCACTCTTTCATCAATCTCCAAGAAGATCAAGACCACTTCACAGGTTCACCAGGGAGTCCATACTTAAAGACACACATAGGATAAAGAATTTAGGAGTTGGAACTTTTACATCTCAAGAACCTATCCAGATTAGGTGAGAAATATATGGAGTCCTCCTAACCAACATGCTCAGATTGAAGAAGCTACTTGGATAAGTGAAACATTTTAAACCAACAAGAAAAGAAGTCCAGTTGCCATGACTCAACTTCTAGACAACTCTACCTGGATGACTGAGAGTCTTCATCGACATCAATCCAGGGATATTAATAGTTCTTACAGCATTCAATGCTTGTCATATTCCATCAGCTGTACTCTTATTTCCATTTGTTTGATTTGCCATTTTTTCTAATCTACTTCTTCCAGATGCCTTCAACTTCAGCTGGCATAATCTAGCAATATTATCTTTTGAATATGGATATGGGAGATGAAGTCTACAAATAATTGGAGAATACTATTTTAAGTAATGGACAGGGAAAAGGATTCTGCTGTAACAGCAAAAACCTAATCTTAGAAACCCATGCGGAAGAAGTCAAAATCTTGCTCTCCAACCTGTTTCCTTCTTCATAGATATTGTACAACGTCCCTGTTGTGTAGGTTTTGCAAAAGAGAAATACCAAGATTCTATATGATTGAAATGCAGTGTGTGATCTCTGCTTCTTCTTCTCTGCAGTTATGATGTGGATTCCAAGAGTCCTGACCTATCCAAACATGTAAGCTAAGTATACATTTTCTTCTTCATTTACATGGTATTCTTGAGATACTTACTCTTTGATCCATTTTTTTGCCTATAATTCAGTACATCATATTCATGTTATGCAATAAACCAGAATTGTAAAAAAAAAAACATCCTTTGATTGATCACTCATATGATAGATGCTCTACAGGCTTTTGGTTGCTTCCAGTTAGCTGTATCTTTCATTGAGAGTGCCACAAATAAGCCTAGATCACTATCTGTGTTTTGTTTAGAGTTGTGTGCAAATCAAGATTTCTGATTTGTTCTTCTCTTATAAGCTAGAGTCCAAAACTATGTTTTTCTCTTAGCTTCTCGTTCTGTTTTTCCAGAAATAAATAAACTGGTTCACATAAACTTGGTTCACTTTTAACTCTAAATAAACCATGGACTGAGTCATCCAGGTTTCATAAGTCACTCCCATTAAGAATGGGAGCCAAGTGTAATTATGAATTGGATAGGAGCATGTTACTTATTAAGTTAAACTTCTTTACAGATTTAGTTTACCATGTGAAGCTTCCTGATATTGGCTTAATCTATTTAACTATTATGCATTGGATAATAACACCAATTGTGATTTAGTGCAGTTGGCTAGGAATACTGGCAGAGATGTTTGCTACCAGATTGACTAAACTAAAGATACTAAGCTAGATTGCTATGGATTTACAATTGTTTCAGATCCAGGCAGCATCACACATACTTGCAGATGCCCCAAAATTATTTAATACACTTTTATGTGAGATTATATAAAATGGCTGAAACATTGCAAAATTGACAAATCACAAAAAGATTTTGCCAATCACGCCTAGAGATCTCATTCAAGATCCTAAAATCTTGCTCATCTTCCATTAAAAATGGGGAGAAAAATTCAAATTTCAATCTTCTTGCTTCAAAATCTATAAGAACTTATGTAAGAACAACAAACAGAAAGATTATTTTTAAAAATTATTTTAATAGACTCATTTCAAAATATTGTATTTAGTTGTGGGGTACCACAAATGCCATATACATGTACTGCAGGAACTTTGATGTTTATGGGGGACTGGGTCTTTCAGAATGCAGTCTATGCACTGTAATCCTTTGAATAAAGGTTTTTCTAAGTTGTGAAATATTGCTAAAACTGCATTTTATTTCTGTCCGTTCTACACATACTTTGGTTCATTCTGTTACTTTATCCTGAATTACTATAATGTTTTACATTTCAAGTAAGTAAAAAACTCCAAAAAAGTGTATAGTGAATCTTAGTTTTTATTTTTGCTAACTACTTAAAACATGTATAAGTAATTTTGATAGGTACTTATTGCAAAGTGTAGGCTTATGGGGTGACAGCGTAAATTATAATAAATTGGCATGATTTCGGGAAACAGATATTAGTCAAGTTATGCTGGAGAAAAAAATACCAGCCTATTTTTTAAATCTTCTGTTTTACTAACATTACTAGCAGATTTAATTTATGAGAATATGACAGTCAAAATGATCTCAACTATGTTGCATTCTGGATCTACAGAACAGAATCAAGGATGCCAGAGGCTAAAGCACCTATTACACCTGGACAGACATTGACTAGGCCAGGGGTGTCACACTCGCAAAGTCATGTATCGTGATTTTTTTTGCCATTGCCGGCAATGGGGTGGGCGCAGCTTCGCTATAATGCATCCAGCCCGTGGGCCGGCAGTTTGACACCCCTGGACTAGGCACTGAGCCTGATATATAATGTCCTTGTTCCATGCAATTATCCTGATGCTACTATCTTTCCATCAGCCTGATTTTTTTTTAAATTCAGCCATGTTTTTAACTCAGTACATATTAAAGCATGTACTGTGGCCAGATTCATACATTCCAAACTTCTGTTGTGAGAACTGTAGAAAGGAGCTACTGAAGGACTGTTCTTCTCCATAAATTAACCAGAACAGAAGTTGAGTTTTTAATAATGTCTTACCTTCAGTCTCTAGAAGCTTTAGAAGGAGGGGAAGGCCCTGCTAGGAGGAAAACTTTCATAACATTCACGTCAATTTCTTTCATCAGGATTTCCTTGGTCAAACATTCTGCACTCTGGGGGAGATTGTCGGATCACCAGGAAGTCGCTTGGAGAAGCCTTTGATGTGAGTGTCTAGTCAATGTCAACTGTGATGCCTTTAGTGGGCCTTCCAGCTTTTCTTCTTATTCTGCAATGGGTTCATTCTATCACACCTACTGATGCATAAGGCATACAATGAGATTTTTAGATAAATCCTATCAAAAAGGTAGTCTAAAGATTAATTTAACTTTGGGTAAAATCAGCAACCAGATATTAGCTTCTTTCCTGTTCATTATTATATCTATGTCAGCTTTCCCTAATCTGATGCTCTCCCTAGATGAGCATGGAACTACATAAATAGTGGGTCATTGATGCATGAAGGAAAGCCAAATAAAAAGACCACATGTCATAAATTCTTCTCAGGTTTGTGAAAGTCAGCATGTAATATTTTGTTCTAAACCTAAACACACTGAAAATAAAGTCATCAAAATAATTTAGTCATTTAAACATGTTTAAAAATAGTAAATACAAAAGTCTATTTTTATCTCTAGTGAATTTCAGTTCACATATATGAACCTCAGGAAAGGTCTATATCTTGAATCTTTTCTCCTATTTCTCGTACATGTAATTTGCATACTTTATAACTTTTTATATTCCCTCTCAGATGCATTAATATTCATCCCAAGGACATCTGCTTTTTACTGAATTTACCATCTGCATTAGCTTGTTTTAGAACTAGCTCTGTTAGCTACTTTTTCTTCATTTTGTAGAGAAAACTCATGTTTTTTTTAATTCAGTATAGCACTCCAGTTTTGAAAAATTATTTTTAGTGCTGATTCTATAGGTCAAATGGATTTGCAGCTAATTCCAGCTAGTTTAGTTTAATGAAGAGAAGGATGAGGGGAGACATGATAGCAGTGTTCCAATATCTCAGGGGCTGCCACAAAGAAGAGGGAGTCAAGCTATTTTCCAAGGCGCCTGAAGGCAGGACAAGAAGCAACGGGTGGAAACTAAGCAAGGAGAGAAGCAACCTAGAACTAAGGAGAAACTTCCTGACAGTTAGAACAATTAACCAGTGGAACAACCTGCCTCCAGAAGCGGTGAATGCTCCAACACTGGAAGTTTTTAAGAAGAGACTGGACAGACATTTGTCTGAAATGATATAGGGTTTCCTGCCTGAGCAGGGGGTTGGACTAGATGACCTCCAAGGTCCCTTCCAACTTTACTACTACTGCTACTACTACTACTACTACTATTATTATTATTATTATTATTAATAATAATAATAATTTTTGGCACGTTTTAAACTGTATACCATCTCCTTCTGTAGCTAGAACATTAAAAGGAAGCTGGGGCTTATGATCTCCCAAAAGAAAAGGAAGAAAGGCATGAAAACAATGGTTGCTTGGTTTACAACAAATTGCTCTTTGCAGTGGCATCTAAATATGTTGAACGGTGGTTTGTAGGAAACATGGTTTCTTAAGATAAAGGTAGTCCTTAATTTAGGATTGGAATCAAATTTTCCATTGCTAAGCAAAGATGGTTGTTAAGTGAGTTGCACCAATTTTACAATCTTGTTTTGCCACTGTTGTTAAGCAATCGTTAAGTGAATCATAACAGTCATTAAAATGACTCTGGCTTCCCCCGTTGGCTTTGCTTCATGGAAGCTGGCTGGGAAGGTCTGAAATGGGGATTACATGGACTGCTGCAACCATCATAAATACTTGCCGGTTGCCGAGGGCTTGAATTTTGAATCGTGGGGATGTCCACTGGTCATAAGTGTAAGTCACTTTTTTCAGTACCATTGTAATTTTGAACCATTGCTACCCGAATGGCTGTCAATTGAGAACTACTCGTAGTAGATTATTTTTAAATGTGAGGCAGAAGTAAGATGGAGCCATTGCTGGGAGAAAACAGTGTAAAGAAAGGTAAGTTATCCTGCTGCATGTAATCTGGATTGTGGGCCACATTTTAAAATACGGGCAGTATTCCGAAACAAGCCTGAAGTCTATCTGGTGTAGCCTTAAGCAATTTACTTTTGCTGCTTGCTTTGCTTATTCTGATGTTCTGTTTTGATTGTACTCCTGATGCTTCTCTTTCGTTTCATTGCTTGCTGGAATTATGGATTTATTTTTAGATTTGATTGGTTTTACTGTGGATCCTTTTTAATTTGTTTTGCAAATTGGGAGCTGTTAAATTTGAAGGACAGTCAGAACTTTGCTTAATAAATAAATATAATACAAAGTATTGAACACATAGTATTCTGCATTTGCTACCTATTGCTACCATGCATCGTATCAACGTGCTGCAGTGCTTAAAGACCATCTTCACTGGATGGAGTTTTTGCTGTTGTAAAGTGTCTTTAAAAATTTGAACTCAGAATCCCTTAGGAAAACAGGATACAGCAAGGCCTGCCAAGATTTTCAGTTACATCTTCCACAATTGATCATGTTTTCTGGGATTGACAACATCTAGGGAACAGTCAGTTGCCAACCAGGAATATCATAATGAGTCCTTCATAATACCAATATGTTGGGTCAGAGCCACTGGTATTTTTAGGAGAAGCAAAGTGGGATCAATGACATCCAAGGCAAACCATAACAATGCCAAAATAACATACGCAACATGACATCATCATGCAAATGCTTCTATTATGTAATGATAGCCTGATGTTTGATGCAAATACTCAATTCATAGCATTTGTATAATGATTTTGCTATGGACACATTATTGTTCTCCACTCAGCAGAGATCCTTGAGGAAGATCCCAACTTCTTGGGCTAAGTCAAATCTCATCAAATCCTTGCTGAGAGGATGATGATATGAGTGCAAAATGTCACTAATGCAGCAGTATGCATGCAGCTTCCAGGCTCAACAAATGACACCTTTTTCCTCGTTGTCTGAAAACAGCTCCAGGGTCTCCGGAAGGAAGCAGGTGCCAATGCTCTTCTTGCAATTGCCAGCCATAATTGAAAAGGAGAGATACATATAGTGAAAAAGAGAAGCTCTCTGCTGTCTTTTTGAGAAGCAGCTTATTAATTCAGATGCACCATGGGAGGGTAAATGCAAGGTGCAAAGCAGCATGTACAAGTGGTGGGGGCGTTACAGAAGCCCACTGTGGAATTAATTATCATTGCTGTTGAAAACAAGCCAAAGCCCAAGGCTTCTCTCTGGAGAAGCAGCAGATAGGAAAAAAAACATAAAGAGAGGCAGAGAGTTCTTGATTCTGAACACAATAAATACTGTGGAAAGAAGTTCACAAAAGAGGGCTTTGCTATGTACAGTTATCAAATTTAAACACAAAAGATCAAGTCTAAAAATGAGCTGTACAAGCATTAAGACCTGATAGGGCTAAGAACATATATTTTTATTAAGGAATTTGTTTTGGAGCTTTTTGGAAGTGTGCTCAAGATACATTGTCTTTTTGTAAACCTAAGATTTGCAGGTGAGCTACAGCACATGGTCTCCAAGCAGTTTTCTCTAAAATGTAGAAGTTCCCTTCATCAAGAATTGGTTTTCCTGAAGTACTTCAGAATGTAATAATTAGTTCAGATCTCCTGACTATTTCACACCCTCATCAATGCAAGGTAGAGTTTTCCTTCCAGTAGTGCCTAAGCATGCCCCATACATCTTTGGGAAGAGGCTCCAAATGTTCTGGACTCTCCAGTGTCCTCAAATTATTCTTGAGCTTTAGTTCCAACATAATTAACTGGCAGCCAGGTAGAAATGACTAGTAAAAATGAAAATTACAGGAAGGAGGAATACATTTGGTGAGCAATATGGCATATGTATAGGATGGATGCATGGTTATATTTTGGAACTGCAGCATCACCAGATGGTTCCTCTTTGTAGATCATTCTCATAATCCAAATCCTTTTGAGGACCAAAGCTGGGTTCTTCAGGTAGCTACTGATATTAAAGAGGCAACTGGACTTTCTTGTTTTTCTTTAAAAGAATGCAAATGACAGCTGTCTCCAAGGGATAGAAATCCTTCCAGTCCCCACCATCCAGTTAGAGCTGAAGAAGCTTCTTGGATGAGAAGCGAAACATCTTCAAAGAAAAAACAAAGTCCAGTTGCTTCCTGAAAAAGCACCTTTGGGACAACCATGACCTGGATGACTGAGAATCTCCATAGACATTTAGTGAAACTAAACTGTCCATTCTGTTATTTTACAAACTGTGTTCTGGTAGCAGCACACTTTGCAAAATAATAACAATTATCCATGCAACAATTTTGGGTATTATTATTAAAATAGTTCAGTTCAGAAATAAAGTAGCTCATTGAAGTTGATCTTCTGAAGCACTGATGCTTTTTCTGTGTCCTAAAACTTTCTTCCTAACACTTCTAAATTACTGCATAAAATCAGTATTTTTGTTTCTTTTCACATAAATTCCAGCTAGTGCTCCTGAGGGCTGTAAGTTAGGAAGGATTTATATGCCTTGAGTCATTCAGTTATATACTGGAAATCTTGGTAACAATGACCATAAAATCTATTGCAGACATTCTTTTTCTCTCCCTTTTCAGATTTCATTACCAATGGCTTTAAAACCAAAGATCCTCAACTTGAGGTGATCAAGCTACCTGCAGCTTCCAAACATTTTGGTTGTGCCCCCCCCCCCGAATCTATAAAGATTTTTATATGGCCAAATATAATATACCTATGTATGCATAGCAATTTATTTGAATAATGATTTTAGTTTTTGTTAGCTCATGGATAATCTTATGGAGTGTCACCCCCAAGTTACCCACTTCTAGGAATACAATACATGCTGATTTATGGTCAAGTCATCCTGCTCTAAGCTGAAAATAACTATACCAGTCAATGCTATACACTGATCTCAGCAACTGAAGACAATATTCATTTGTTACATTTAAAAAAAACAAACATCTACCCAGTGATGGTTATATCTTAGTGCAGGCGTAGGCAACCTTGACTCTTTTGTGACTCGTGGACTTTAACTCCCAGAATTCCTGAGCCAGCATGGCTAGCTCAGGAATTCTGGGAGTTGAAGTCCACGAGTCGTAAAAGAGCCAAGGTTGTCTACCCCTGTCTTAGTGGATTACATAAGCAATTGCTCTCAGGTG